AATGTATTCCTGACACAAAAACACCTTGGTTTTTACAGTTTGGAGAAATAATATTCTTCATATTTGGCTCTAAGAATAGCTATTTCTCTTATACAAAAGAAAAAGGACACATTTTAAAAAATAAATTTTTATTGTGACCACACCTCAAAACAGAGAGTTGCCAACTCTATCTTAAGGAACAAATTTTTTCCAAGAGTAATTTCCATCATAATTTCTTGCACAGGGCTTCCCTGGTGGCGCAGTGGTTAAGAATCCGCCTGCCAGTGCACGGGACACGGGTTTGAGCCCTGGTCTGGGAAGATCCCACATGCCGCGGAGCAACTAAGCCCGTGCACCACAACTACTGAGCCTGCGCTCTAGAGCCCGTGCTCCGCAACAAGAGAAGCCACCTCAGTGAGAAGCCCGCGCACCGCAACGAAGAGTTCTTCCCACTCAACGCAACTAGAGAAAGCCCGCGCAGCAACGAAGACCAACACAGCCAAAAATAAATAAAGCAAATGCAAAATATATATTAAAAAAATAATAATAAAATAATTTCTTGCACAGGCTGTACAATATGTTTCTGCTAGCAATAAACAGGTCTGAGTAAAGGTTTTCCAAATTTTTTCCTGTCTGCATTTTTTAAATTATATTTTAAGAAGCATCATCAGGGCTTCCCTGGTTGCGCAGTGGTTAAGAATCTGCCTGCCAATGCAAGGGACACGGGTTCGAGCCCGGGTCTGGGAAGATCCCACATGCCGCGGAGCAACTAAGCGCGTGTGCCACAACTACTGAGGCTGCGCTCTAGAGCCCATGTTCTGCAACGAGAAAAGCCACTGCAATGAGAAACCCGCACACTGCAACGAAGAGTAGCCCCTGCTCGCCACACCTAGAGAAAGCTGCACACAGCAACGAAGACCCAACACAGCCATAGATAAATAATTTATTTTTTAAAAAAGCATCTTCAAAATCAAACACACATATCAATACCAAACCCCACAAAATTAGCTATCATACACCCATGTAGGCATCTTATTAAACTGGTTAATTGCTTCATGAGATGTAAGGTAGTTAGTGTAATAGAGGGAACATTTGCAGTGGAGGCAGAATAACCTAGAGCTGGGTGGAAATCTTGGCTCCATCACTTGCTAGCTATGTGAACTTGGGCAATTTCCTCCTCTCAGTCTGAGTTTCCTCGTTTGCAAAATGAGATAATTATTCCAATCTTATGAGGATTAACTGTATGTGAAATGACCAGCACAGAGCCTGACTCAAAGCAGAAGCACAGGAAACAATTACTATTATTACTCTGTTGTCATTCATGTAAACTTGTTAAAGGCAAAGCATACATTTTTCTTGTAACTCAACTGTAGGCTTTATAATATTGAGAACTGAAAAAATAAAGGCAAGAAACATCATAAGTTACAAAGGACTTGGTATAATATCAGTTCAGCACATGCCTAGATAGGAAATGAAACTATGAATTAATAATGATGACCTTAAAAACATATATAAAAATAAGGAACATCCTTATTTTTTTAATTAATTATTTTATTTATTTATTTTTGGCTGCATTGGGTCTTCATTGCTGCGTGCAGGCTTTCTCTAGTTGCGGCGAGTGGGGGCTAGTCTTTGTTGCGGTGTGCGGGCTTATTGCAGTGGCTTCTCTTGTGGAGCACAGGCTCTAGGCGCGCGGGCTTCAGTAGTTGTAGCACACAGGCTCATGGGCTCTAGAGTGCAGACTCAGTAGTTGTGGCACACGGGCTTAGTTGCTCTGCGGCATGTGGGATCTTCCCGGACCAGGGCTCAAACCCGTGTCCCCTGCATTGGAAGGCGGATTCTTAACCACTGCACCACCAGGGAAGCCCCCGTCCTTATTTGTATAAGCCACTCTGAAAGGAGACGACGCTGTCTATGTACAAATCTCATATAGAACTACTTTTCATCCCACAAGTACTTCCTGAACGTCCATTGAGTGCCAGTCATTATGACTGGCAATGTGCGTACGATGGTGAGCAAATGCAGACACAGTTCCAAGCCTCACGGAGCTTCCAGTCATACAATCATACAAATAGTGTAAACTTGTGGTAAGTGATATAAAGGACAGTACATGGTACTCTGAGAGCCAGCAGCAGATCTAACCTAATTGGGGAGATCAAGGAACACCTTCCCGAGGAAGTGGAAGCTGGGAGCTGAAGGATGAAGAGGGAGTTACCAGTGGAGGGTATTTCCAGAGAGAGGAAAGCAACTTGTGCAAAGACCCTGTTAACAGAAGGAAACAGGCAAGAATGCAGGACCAAAAGGCCAGTGTGCCTGGAGCAAAGATGAAGTGTGAGAATTAGCTAGGGATCTAAACCGCAAAAGGGCTGAGGCATTGTAGACCATATTCAAGAGATGTAACAATCATTCAAGAGCTGTCAATCCCAAAAGCGATGAAAAGCCACTGAGGGTTTTATGAATGCTTATTTTGGTGGCAGGTAGGCCAAAGGGAAGATGCAATCAGATTTGCAGTTTGCCTTTGGTTTCTCGAATAAGAGCTAAGGAATGCAGATGAATCAAGTAGGAAACAAAAATTCTGTCAGGATATGACAGTGCTTGGACTAGGATGATGATAATGGTGGTGGTGGTGGAAGAAGTCAAAGAGTTCAGGAGATATTCAGGAAAACCTGATGATGTATATAATACACAGGGGCTGAGGGAGAACAAAGTATCCAAGAAAACTTTTGGGTTTATGATTTGCATGACTGTGTAGAAAGAGGTACCATTTGAGAGGGATCTGCTCCAGAAACATCTTTAAAGCAGTTTACACAGCGCACAAAGGGTCTGAAACTGTGTTATCCAGTTTGATCCCCTACTTTACCCATGAAATAGGATTCCAAAAGATTTTTTTCTATTTCCAAAAATCAAACTGACTCTCAAATGTACAAGATTTTTCCAACACTGAAGATATTTCAAAGATTCTGCCACAAGCTTTGAAATCAACTCCAAATGAGTTCTAAAACTGGTTTGAACAATGAGGCAGCATTATGGAATGAATATGTCATTTCCCATGACAACTACTTTGATAAGACTAACATGCATTTGTTGCTGTTTAGTTTAGATATTTTAAAGAAATCTTAACAGTTAAGAGTACTCTCAAAAAAAAAGAGTACTCTCATGTGATATTAAACTAAGATATGAAATTTTATCTGGTATTACCACAATTGGAATTATGTTTGTGTTTCAACATTTTGAAGTGCCTGTAGAAACCTTGGTATTTTGTAGGAAAACATATGGTTAAAAAAAACCCACATAACTTCTTGATCTTAATATACATATATTTTACTATTTCCATCCAGTCCTTGTTAATTCCCATCACATTCATTCGATGTAAAAGATTTTTACTAAACACAGTTGCATATATGTATACACACATACATATACAGAGTAAAGCTAATACTTTATCAATACTATGAATACTTTAATATTTACTTTTCTCAGTTTTAATTTTTTAATTCACAGCCACATGGCATTTTCATAGTGGAATACTGATTCCCTCAAGTCTTAGAAACATAAAAACTTCAAATCTGACTAGCCCTAGAAAAAGAAGTGAAAGAGTTTTGCCCCTTTAAAATCAACCGAACACCATCACACCTTAGTGCTGAAGTACTGATAGTATTTCCCTAATTTTGGCAAGGTGGGCTCCTTGGCCACCTGCTTGGACTAGGCCCTGACTAGCATTTTATTAACATTAATTTCAGTTACCGGGATATTACTACTGCTTATACAGAGCAGCAGATTTTTTTTCCCCATGCTGATTTTATCTCTAGGCGTCAAAAGAAAAGACTGTGGTCTGAAGCCAAATATGAAAAATGTCATCTCCACAAATGAGGAGAAAAGTCAAGCGTTTTTTAAAAATCAGCTCTTAAGCCCATTAACCAATATTAGTTTGTAAAACCAGACTGTCTCCACACTAGAGACTGTACTACCAGATGTGGTCCTTTGGGAGCAAGGGCTGGCAAGCTCGAAATGGGTTACCAGCATAGTTCACCTTTTTCTTATTTTAGGGGTTTTTTGTTTGTTTGTTTTGTTTTTAAACAAATCAGACCATGGCTATATTTATTTGAGCATGGGTGTGGGCAGTGCCAAGGAAGAGACAGCGAAAAGACTTTAGGGTTCCAATCTCAGCTAACAAGACTTTCCTACCATCCTCAGAAGGAGTGGTCCATGTTTCCCCAACAGGAATGTGGGCGAGGGAAAGTTATAAAGGCCCTGAGCTCTTCCCTTACCCAAGCCCCCCAAATGACACGACAAACCACTTCCTTCTGGGAACTGAAAGTCTTAAGCTTTAAGGGACAATGGAGCTCAATGTAGGCTTCAGAAAGATGGAGACAGTGAGATGAGATGCGGGGAGGGAAGTGGGGGTGAGGGGATGCGCCCAGCGGCAGAGAGCTAAAGAGGGCGGTCAAGGCTAGGGACTTCGGGAGCCTGAGAAGGCCTGGATCTTCCAGAATCTGTCCAAGTAGGCCACAGCCCTCTAAGAAGCCCGAGAGGCTCGTCTGAAAATCTAGGGCATCTATGGACTCAGTGCCTATCACTGTCCTGGGGAGGGGAGACAGTCCCCGCAGGAATCCGGCCCCCAAAGTGGGGCTTTTCCTGCCCTTAAAAAACCACAAACCCTCACGGAATGAAGCAAAACACGTACAGGGATGGCAGGGCCGGAGGCAAAGTAGGTGTTCTGCAAACGTCGGGGACGGGGAGATGTTGGCAGAGGTAAAGGGAGGCCCCCAATTCGAGAAACTTTAATCATCACCGGAATAGGGGAGGGGGCAATATGCGACCGGTAAGCAGCAGACAGAAGAGGCCGGGAGCGAGAGCAGCGACCAGCAGCGCCCCCCGGCTTCGGGGGATGACGGCCTGGGGCGCGGCCGCCGGGGGCGGGGGGCTGGAGGCCACCGCGGACCCCCGGCCGCGAAGAGCACAGCCAGGCTAGGCCTGAGGTGTCCGGACACACCCACCGCCGCGGCCGCAGCCCCGCTTACCTGCTCCTCCTCCGGGGTCAGCTCCGGCGCCATGTCGGGCTGGGGCGCGGTCGTGGGCTCCATCCCGCCGCCGCCGTCGCCGCCGCCGCTCCCGCCGGCGAACAGAAGTCGCCCGGGAGCGCGGGGAGCCCGGTGCGGTGGGCCTCCGCTTCCGCGTGCCCGCGCCTCAGCAGCCCGGGGCCGGCTCGCGCATAGCTAGGCCGGCGGGGCCCGGCGCCCGCAGCGGCCGCAAACGCCGCTTCTGTTTCCTTAAGAAAAAGCTCTCAGAACTGTCGCTCTCTTCTGGGCGGAAATCCTTTTTTATTTTCTTCGTTCCGTTCCTCACACTCCCCCAACTCTCCCGGAAAAAAAAAAAAAAATAGTGCAGGCGAGGAGCTAATCGGGATTAAAAAAAAGAAACGTGAAATCGAGAACTTTCTAAGCCCAGAACGAAGGGCCGCGGGGGAAATTTTCGGAAGGCCCCCGACCTCCTCGGCGTCCAGCTTCCTCGGCGGCACTCCGGCTCCTGCAGGAGTCCTCGGGGATGCGGGGCCCTGCGACCTGCGCTGCTGCCTCTCAGCCCCGTTCCTCAAAAGCCGCGGTGACGGGAGGGAGGGAAGGAGCGAGAGAAACGCGCCCCCCTCCCGGCTCAAGGCCAGTGCTGCGGCCGCACTGCGGCCGCCCGAGCCCCCCGCGGCTCCATTGAGAAACTGAGCGTCTCATTCACAAACAGGCGACGAAAAGGGCCCGGCAGAGCTCGGACGCAGCCCGGGAGGGGGAGACAGAGAGGAGCCCGGGGGCGGGGGCAGCGGAGCTAGAGGAGGGGGACGCCAAGAGGAGGGGGCGGGGGAGGCCGGCGGGGGGAGGGGAGACCCAGAGGAACCAGGGCGGGGGAGGGGCTCCGGCGACTGGAGGAGCGTGGAGCGAAAAAAAAGGAAGGAAGAGTTTCAAGAGGTTAAGCTCCGTGGAGGAGGGAAAAAATGCATATGTTTGAAAACTAGCTGCCCACGGACACCTGGCCTGGGGTTACTTGCTACTACCACTTACTTGTGAGGAACCCGCAATCCTCATCTATTTCCACGTCACTTCCTGACTGAAAGACCCTGAAAAGGTTGCTTACTAAGTCCAGGATGCGCAGGTGGAAGGAGCAGACCCTGGCCCGCGGTATCCTGTAATCCATCACCTATGGCTAATTTTAGTCTCTCAGAAAAACAGCATCAGATTTCGAACCTCTTTCGGGAATCATGCAGCATTTGCAAGCCTTTGATTTTCACTAAGGCGAGCGCGGCAAAGAGCTTGGGGGTCTTACGGGAGTCAGTTTGGGAGTAGAGGGGGCACTGGGAAGGCAGGGCTGGGTCTGGCATGTTTTTGCATCATTCCAGACCAAAAATAAATACTCTAAAAGGGACCCAACTAACAAGTGAGTGCCACAACTAGTGCCAAAGGTTGAAACCTGGAGAGCGCACAGAGCTAGGCCCACGGGAGAGGTCTTCAGACAACTGAGGAAGATGTCCTGAGTTCTGATGCTCCTTCTAGGACTTTAAAAGCAACCTCTGACCTCACCTCATTTCTGCACCATTGCAATAAAAACTTCAGGCTGCACTTGGTTAGAGAAGAAACCCCTGGTGGTTGGTACTGTTTCTGTCTCAGGTGGGTTACTTTATTCTTTGCACCAATAAGGCTGACTCTAGGTTGAGTTCATTACCCCATACAGGAGTTACAGTTTCAGTATTGTAACCAGATGCTCCTCTGGAAGACTATTTAGCAAGTATGTTTATATGCCAGGCACTGGGGTCTGCACTAAGTTTACAACAATGAACAAGACAGTGGTCTCTTCCACATGTAAGGAATGGAATGATCCCTGAGCTATGTTATTAAGGGAAAAAAAGCAAGACCCAAATAGTGTGTATAATATGCTGTCATTTGTATAAAGAAAAAAATGAATGTGTATTTGTAAATTTATTTATACATAGAAAAGCTTTGAGAGGATACACAAGAAAGATAGCAGTGGCTGTCTCCCAGGAGGGGAACTGGGATTCTAAGGAACAGAAGGGAAGAGGGAGACTTTTCCCTATATGGTCAATTATACATTTTAAGGGTTTCTTGTGTGTTTATTTATTTTTGGCTGTGTTGGGTCTTCATCGCTGTGCGTGGGCTTTCTCTAGTTGCGGCGAGCAGGGGCTACTCTTCATTGCGGTGCACGGGCTTCTCATTGCGGTGGCCTCTCTTGTTGTGGAGCATGGGCTCTAGGCGTGGGGGCTTCAGTAGTTGTGGCATGCGGGCTTAGCAGTTGTGGCTTGCGGGCGCTAGAGCATAGGCCCAGTAGTTGTGGCACATGGGCTTAGTTGCTCCGGAGCATGTGGGACCTTCCTGGACCAGGGATCGAACCTGTGTCCCCTGCATTGGCAGGGGGATTCTTAACCACTGCGCCACCAGGAAAGTCCCTTTAAGGTTTTTTTAAAGCTTTCTATTGACATTGTCAACTACGAATTGGCATTTTCCATGGGCACTTGCCATCCACCTCTACAAGGATTAAATCATGAGCTGCTGTAGCTGCTGACTTTCGACAGCCCTGAAAGGAGCTCAGGTGGAGCGCAGACATGAGGCGCTCTGTGCTCTGGGAAAAACTGGCAGAACAGGTCTTCAGATAGTTAGATATCTTCAAGAGCCAATTTTATGAGCCCAATTCTTGTATCTCCTCATATCTAGAAAAGCACTAAAATCCTTCATGGTGACGTCTGCTCCTCGTGACTAGCAGTAACCTGTACGAGACTAGCAGAAATCTTCTGTAAAAAAATATGTGCTTGATTGCATGTACTCCCCCTTCACCAAAATCACATATATACTGACCTTCCCCCCTGCCTCTTTGAAGCAGTTTCTCAGAGCTATCTGAAATGCTGTCTCCCCAGCTGCGGTCCTCATTTTGCCCCAAATAAAACTTAACTTGCAACTCTCACGTTGTGCATTTTTTTAAAGTCAACAACATATAATATACATACAGAAAGATGAAAATATGTGTACAGCATGGTGAATTTCATAAACTAAACACACCCACGTAACCAGCATACAGATCAAGAAATTCCCAACTTTCCAAAGCCCTCCTTATGTCCCCTCCCAGTCATTACTCGAGTTACCACTATCTTGGCTTCTAACAACATTGTGTGTATGTATGTTTAAATTTTGCACGTGGATGTATAAACTTTTCCAAAAATTTTTTAAATAGTAACAAATCTAGTTTTTCTCCCTAAGCAGGCAAATGGCTCTAGGACTAAGCTAGAGTAAGAAATTGCAGAACCTGAGTAGTACAAACCACTGAGTGGACACAGAAGAGGATGGAGTCTCTCAACCCACTATTTACATTTTTACATTTGTTTTGCCCAATGATCCTCAGGATGCCAGTGGTTGGTGTCGCACAGCTAATTAATTAGTATTGAATTAGAACTTGAATCCAAGCATTCTGACTCCTTGTGCAGGTATTGGGTGAGGAAAATTTTAAGAGAGAAGTTTAACAGAATGAGCTAGGAGAGAGAACTCAGCGGAGTTTTCAGAGGCACAGCTGTGTGTGTGGGCGTGTGGGTGTGTAAGGGAACAGTTTTCTGGAACTGTTGCCTATCACAGTCCAAACAGGACAATGTTTGGAAGTTTTTGAGCAGAGGCGTGGGGAACAAAACCAAGTGCAAGGCGGCTGGCTGGATTTGCTCTGAGTGGCAAAACTTAGGAGAATCAGAGTACAAAGTCTTGCCTTTAACTGCAGGCTTGAACTAACAAAATCAAGAATGATACTGTCATCCTGCTCAATCAGATCTTAGAGACTGTAAAACAATTTGTAATACAAAAGATTGGAAACAATATAATGGCCAATCAATAAGAAACTCAGTAAATAAATCATGGTACACACATACACTGAACTAATAAGTTCCACTTATTGTATCCTTACCAGGTGCCAGACACTGTTCTAAATGAGTTTCATTCATCTAATCTCTCCATCACAGTATGAGATAGCTGAAGTTTTGATCTTTAAAATATATATATAAGGAAGATCCATATGTGTTGACATAGCCCTGGACTTTTGAATGCTTGGCTGCAGGACCTCAGAAGGAAGGCTAGGGTAGGGTTGGGGGAGTATAGGTGACAGACAATCACATTTTTATTAAATTAACATGAACTGAAATCTGAAAATGGAAAATAAATTACAAAGGGGGACCCTTTGGGGGAGGGGTGTTATGGGTTGAACTTTTGTTTTTTGCTTTTAAAGCATAGGTTTCAGGTCTCTGTCTAGAAAGCTTATCCTCCCCTTCCTCCCACCTCCTTCACCAAACAAATCTGACTCATCCTTAAGGTCTCAGCTCAAAAGTCACTTCCTCAGCAAGATCTTCCTTGACTACTCCCTGAACTGCTCCTTGTTACTCTCTCTCCTAGCACCATCTTGTTTTTTTTAAAAGAGAGTTGATCACAATTTGTAATTGTGTACGTGTTTCCATGTCATTGGCCTAGAGTCTGCCTGCTTAGCCAGGAAGGTGGGAACCACATCTGTAGGCCCCTGTACCCTCAGTGCCTAGAGCCTAGAACCTAGTACACAGATTCTTCATAAATATGTATTGAATGACTGAATTAAGAAGATAACCAGACTTTCCTGGCGGCACAGAGGTTAAGAATCCGCCTGCCAATGCAGGGGACACGGGTTCAAGCCCTGCTCTGGGTAGATCCCACATGCCACGGAGCAACGAAGCCTGCATGCCACAACTACTGAAGCGTGTGCTCTAGAGTCCGCGCTCTGCAACAAGAGAAGCCACCGCAATGAGAAGCCAGCACGCTGTAACGAAGAGTAGCCCCCGCTCGCTGCAACTAGAGAAAGCCCATGGGCAGCAATGAAGACTCAACACAGCCAAAAATAAAATAAATTAATTTTAAAAAATTCTCTTAAAAAAAAAAAGACAACCACCTTGGGACTTCCCTGGTGGTCCAGTGGTTAAGACTCCACATTCCCAATGCAGGGGGCCCGGGTTTCATCCCCAGCCCGGTGAAGCCAAATAAATAAATAAATAAATATTACAAAAAAAAAAAAAAGATAGCCACCTTAACTCTGAGACCTCTGTCTTACCATTGTCGTATGCCTTTTTTTTTCTTTTTGGCTGCATTGGGTCTTCGTTCCTGGGTGCGGGCTTTCTCTAGTTGCAGCAAGCGGGCGCTACTCTTCATTGAGGTGCGAGGGCTTCTCATCGCGTTGGTTTCTCTTGTTGCAGAGCACAGGCTCTAGGCGCGTGGGCTTCAGTAGTTGTGGCTCGTGGGCTCTAGAGCGCAGGCTCAGTAGTTGTGGCACACAGGCTTAGTTGCTCTGGGGCATGTGGGATCTTCCTGGACCAGGGATCAAATCCATTTCCCCTATATTGCCAGGCAGATTCTCAACAATTGCGCTACCAGGGAAGTCCCTCTCCTGCCTTTTTTTATATTTGTTTGGATCTAGGAATAGAGATACTTCCAAAGCTGTGATTAGAATTTTGTAACCTTTCCCCAAAAACACCTTTACTTCTGAAATCTAAAGCTTCTCTCAGAAATTGCTCCAAAATACCTACTGCCTATGAAAGAGACATGTCTAAAAGACAGATACAGAATAAGTAAGGTCATAGTACTAACCGATGTCTAGTGAAAATTTTTTCTTGTTTACTCATAGGCCAAAGCTATAATCACTAGGATGGCTGAAGTAAGCTATGTAAGGAAGGTGAAA